CCCCCCCCCCCCCGCCACACTATTCTAAGGGTGTATTGTATACCCTACTTTAACCCAAAATTATTTTCAATAACATTCTTTGCTAAAATACTAGTCTTCTAAAAAATGACCAAAAATCAAATATTCAGTTCAAAAATCTCTGTAAATGACCTTAACGTTAGATTCAACGTAAGTTTCAAATACAATAAGCTACTTCATTCCAATACATTTTTTCTCTTGCCCTGAACCACCACCCCACTACAAATTTTTTTGGATCTGGGTCATAAGTTGTATGTCTTTATTTCTATCCATATGAGTTTCCTTAGTTATATAGCCAGGCAAGTTTTAAAAACAGCATACAAATTCATGGACCTTTCATGCGTTTGAAATTTCATTTCTGTGGACATCATTGCTTTGTATTTAAAAATTACAATGGTTTGTATGTGTAAGATTTACTGTCTAGAAAAATGATGTAACCTTTTATTTTTTCTAAGTGCATATTATATTATGTACTTTTCTCCCTTACTATTCTACCAAAAATGAATTCTTAAAAGATGGCTGTGTGTGACAAATGAATTACAGAAAACTAATATAATGAATACCTTTCCTGTACTGGGGAACTGTCAAGATGGGGCAGCTGGAAGAAAAGTAATTTGCTTGGAGAAATAATACACTGGCTAGAGAGTGTGGGTGAATAAAAAATAGGGGCTTCTGTGGATCTGCCACAGTCCTATTTTACCAGAGTCCCCTGCCTCCATTGTTTCAAAATCTCAATGTTTTTTTGGCAGTATATTGTAGAAAAAATGTCAGCTATATTAATCAGCTATGTATCATTGTGTAGTCTTTACATAGCTTATTTAGAATTTACAATAATATTGCATTTATGCAATGTTGAGATTCGTGAGCATATGATAACATAATAGAACAGTTAGAATGTAATTGTTGAGTTATAGACTTGCAACTGTTGTTTCGTATTTCCTTCCCTGATAATTATCTCATCTTGGATATGTATTATACTGCATTGTTGCATCATTGAATAACCAATGCATCAAATGTTAGTACTCATCTACAAAAATTCTACTTATTTTGGGAATGATACACGAAAATAAAAGCCTCTATCTGATGAACTTATTTCGGTATTGGAGGAAGATGTTAACTTTATTACTTCAAATATAATTGATGCAGTGCACATTTCTCCCAATGTTGACAAGATGACAGATGAGGAAAATATAGATGAACTTCTGAAATGAAAAAATTGATTGTGCAATTGTCAACTCAGAAAAAGATGTATTACAAGCACAAAACCGTGCTTTGCCCCCCCCTTTTTTTTTCTTTTCAATATTCAATCCTAGTGGAGGAAAAAACGTCTCCGTGTCTTTTTTCTCTACCTGTCAGTCTCCCTCTGCGTCTCTAGCGGTCTCTCTCTCCGCGTTTCTCTTTGTCCCTGTCTGTTTCTGCCTCTCACCCGTCTCGTCCCTAGTCTCCGCGTCTGCGGCTCTTTGTGTCTATGCCTCTATCTCCGTCTCTCCCTGTCTGTCTTGCGCAACTGGTTCTCCAGGGCCTGAACCTGCGTCACAAGGAACGGTCAGCAACAGAAAAGGCCAGGTGGGGCGCCGTTTGAATGGAAATTGAATTAAATTGATGCGCAATTTTGTTCTGCAGCGCCATGTAGTAGAGTTACAACAAAATGAACAGCATATAAACCTGGGCGAAAAAACAAAACAACTTATATCTGCCAGCTTTCATGGAGATCGGCCACACGGTGTCGGAGTTCACCGCTTTTATATATATCAATATGTATAAAAATATATATTGCGAAATAAAAAAAGATGTCACTACCATAATTTCTTTTCCATGACTCCAATGCAATATGAAGACTGCAAAGTGAATTCAATAATGAGTCAATGAATACACAAGAGACTGAAAAATCCCATCTTGGCCTGCCCACAAACACTTCCCTACCGAAAGTCTTAAAGAAATACGTTTTAATCACGAACGGATAGCGGAAGTGGTGGCTCAGGCTCCATTTATCATTGCAGTGCTTCTGACCGTGAGGACCTAGAGTTCGAGTCCAGACAATGGCAGGATTTTCGACACAAGCTCCATAGCATGGTCTCTCAGGGAGTTTAGCCGCCGTCCAAAAGAAAAAAAAAAAAAACATTCTTGCGGCCGGCTGCTCTCATCGGTGATTTTCCTAAGGTTTCTCCGATCAATACCAAGCGAATTCCAGAACAGTACCCAAACAAATGGGCCACTGACAGCGATCATTCCTTCCTCATCCTTGCCAGTTGCACTTCACTACACTTTCTGAAACACCGGTCGGGAGCTTACAGCTTGTCCCGGCTGAGGCGGTGCCCCGCTAAAGGGAAATCCCTGCCTACGCAAGCCGACAAGGTCAGCGTCGGATCTCGCCATTCACCAACGGAAAAATCACCACCACCTTCTGCGATAAAAAAAACAACTGGTACATTCATTTACAAGACTAATGAAATTAGCAGTTGGCGCACCCGGAATCATGAACACGTGATTGTAAACTGAGAAACCAAAGCCAGAAAGATGTGCAAAATCACAATTTACAAATGATAAATAAATAAATTTATCTCCATTCAAAATGTTTGCAGTTGTGTCATGTCAAGATCAATTAATATACACTATTGTCCCGAAGTTGCATATATGCAACATTTTGTTGAACATTGACTATTACTTTAAAAAAATTGAAAATAGGTTATTGTCTTTTAATCCATTTTAGGATAATATTAGAATAAATAAATAATATTTAATAAAATATTTCAATAATTGGTCCTTAATGTAAGTACAAACATTAATTAAAAATCTTTATATATAAACTTCATTCAGCTAATGTTTATAAGTGACTATTTAAAATTTCTGGAAGAAAACCAAATACTTTTCATTCTCATTCAGAGACTTCTAAAACCATACACAGGGCTGGCACAATAAGTGAAGTTCAACTAAGAACCTGTTGTGAAGAAATATTGTGTGATTTTTTTAACTGTGCTCCTGAGCCCTGTCTTCACATTGAATTTTATAATATGAAACCTTACCTTTATATGGCCCTACAGGAACGTCACCTTCTTTGAACTCTCTCAACAAAGTAAATAAATCAAAATTTGAGAAAGTAACAAAATCCACGCAGACAAAATAGGCAGAATTGTGGATGATTTTTGTAACATGGGTGAGATTCCGTTGTCCACATTTAAGTAAATGCTTCACATAAAATAATTGTGTTGTTTTCTGAATATTCAGTGTTTCTTGGAGCCCCGCAGACTGTTCATCTTGTAGGTTAACGTTTGTTTTAATTTGAAACCATCAATAAATTTGAACTATGAGTTTTATTCATTTGCTCATCTCTTATGGTTTGTATTCAACGATCCAAGAGTAATCTCATATCAGGATATCAAAAAAACAACAACAACAACCAATTAAAGCAATTTATAAGTATTACATGTCAAAATTAATACAAAGCACAGAATCGCACCCAGGATTTTACTTGAGACACAAGCCTACAGGTATAGTGACCAGCTCGCTTGTTTTCTGATCGTGAATTTTTTCTTTATATTAACACAAAATGTATTTTTATTGTTTGCTTATAATTAATCTTTGTATATTGGGTCAGCAAGCTTTACATATGTGTATAATTCGCAGAAGTCCACAAAATAGATTGCATTTTACTGTGCCTTTATTAATTTTGACATTAATATTTTTCAAATACTTTAATTCACAAACATTTTGAAGATGAGATCAGATTAGACTTTCAAAATAATCAATACAAACCATATACAAGAAAAAATAAAGTTCATACTCCAAATAGTCTCATAATAATATCTCAAATTAAGCAGGACCTAAACTTGCTACATAGATTGTTCTAATTGCATGGTTCTTTTCTTTTTATAGATGTAGAAACAATGCAGATCTATTTATTGAACCTTCTTCTTATCTTCAAGTATTTGGGCATAATGCCTGTTACGCCGCTTAATTTTAGTCCCTCCAGCGCATTCTTGGACGTCCTACATTCCTTTTTCCCCTCGGCTGATAATTTGCCACTTGTTTAGGAATTCTGTCGTTGTTCATTTGCAACCTCATCTCAACGTTCATTATTGAACCTTAATTCCATCAAATGAAAAATATCTAGTATCAAGACTAAGTCAGGAAATCACTGAAGCACAATCATTAGAAGTGTGGTTCAAATCTATTCTTCAAATATCATATCTACAAACTTTACTGGTCAGTTGACTATCCGAGGTCCGGTGTTAACACATTCTCAAAGCTTATTTTCTCAAAACACAGAACTTTTCCTATGCCGGCTCATAAAGACTTGGAATTCACGATCTTGGGTACTTTTCTCCCCATTGATTCAATGTCATAAAAAAAATTAGTAGTAGAGTTATGCCTAAAACATCAACACACAAATCAGCAATTCAAATTTCAGTATGTAGAAAATTAATTTGAACAGAATTTGGAAGCTCAATTTATCTTTTCTCTGAAAAGGAGGTAAGCTAAATGATGAATCTACGTGAACTAACAAAAACGGTCGCAAATATACATTAAAAAACAAATAAAAATAAAATAAAAAGAAAGGAATCAGAAAAGTATGTGTTTATAATAAAAATATGAATATAATATATAAAATCATTCACATTTGCACACTTTTGCAATAATTTAACACACTGATGATTGTTCTGGTACATTATGATCTCTCTTATTTCATGCATGATAAATTTGCTTCTAGAAATAAGTCTTATTCTCTTAAGCCATTTAACACAAAATGTATTTCAACAATCCTGTCTGACTATACAATTTGATTTAAGTAATAAAATAATTTAAGTGTAATTTCTCTCAACTTTTCTCGTCATTTTTACAAACGGCACTAAAAGTGATACTTTTTACAAAAGCGTTCTTATATAGATGCTACAACATTCACAGTCAAACTTCTTTGTAAGGACAGGGTCAAAATTAAAAGTGCTGTCACATTTTTAACAAATAACTTTGGCATTACTTTCAACACTAAACAGGCTGAATATACAATGAAAAATATTATCTTCCACAAAATATCCAAAAACTGTGTTACATGTAGTGTCCAGATCACATGATATATTTCAAATACATTTTCATTTTGGAATGAAAAATCCAAATTCAAAATAATTCTTGTCTGAAAATAACAATCTTTATATACTGAACTGTCATCAAGTCTCCAGATCATAAGACTTCATTTACCCCGCAATGTTTTTGAAATTTCTCAATCCTTTCACTAACATATCACTTCAAGGTGCGCATTTTCACACTGGAAGTGTTTTAGATACTGTACTAGTCACAGCAGATGAGCATAACCGTGTAAAAAACATTAATCCAGTTTGTCCTCCAGGTATGTAACTCATCAGAAACCATAAAAGTGCAACTATTTGACCTACTGCACATAAAACTGTAAAAGGTGTACTTTGTACACTGAGTGCAAAATATAAAGTAGCAAATAGAGTTCCAAAATACACAGTTGTGAAAGGGAGTCGTTCTTTGGAGAACAGATGTCGTATATGATTCATAGGACCCCACAGAAATGCAAAACTGTAACATAAAATCAAATTTGTTTTGTTATACAAGAAAAATATTCAAAATTAAATGAACAATTACAATTTTTAAAAGGAATTTGGCAAAAAGTATGTATTAGCAAAGAGGCACAAACCTGCATATTAGAAACAGACTTCCCAAAGTATACAGTAACGCAAACTTTCGTGCCTTGAAGAGTAACACAGGTGTATAAAGTGCTGCCAGAACGAAGCATAAAATTCCCATGCCCACACATATACAAAATCCCATTATCCTCTGCATTCGGCTCTGAAAAAGCACAGTCCATTTACATAACCAGAGAGCTCTGACAGTATGACAGAAGACATACGATGTAAACACAACGTTATAATTTAAATCATTAATAGAAAATTATTATAAATCCATTATCATTTCATAAAGACAGTAAACATACCATGGCAGGACAACAGTCTCCTTGTGTTTCTGAAAACCATCCATTAGGAGATTCCTCATTATTTGGCGATCTTGTGAACCATTTCCCAACAGATGGAGGATTCAAGAATTTTGGTACTGTGATTTTAATAGGAGTTTTTTCGTTTCTTGACAGATAGTCGTCTAAATCTTTCTTCAAATCGGCCATGTTTCCCACGATCAGCTGACGTACTTGACAGATCCTCCACGTGTTCAGTACACACGATTATACCACAATGTAAGAAATATTTCTTACACCGTGATTATACTGTCGTCTGCGCATGAGAACGAAATCACGTTCCGCGCAAAACGAGTTACCAAAACAATGCAACTTTTAAATGTCATTGTCGTAACAGTAATATATCTGTAAATCTATACAACCTGTAACTAGAGTACTTGCAGTGGCATGTACTGATATACTTCACATTATAGAACAGTGTGGGGATCATATTCCTAATACTGCGATTTTCGCAACTCTGCTCCTGGCAGGTATACGCTGTTGACTACTTCATCCAATCGAGATCTTAAACGTCATCATAGTGACGTCACTATGGTGACGTTTAAGCTTCCGATTGGATGAAACCGTCAACAGCTAATACCTGACATCACTAACTCCCCCGTGTTCACGAGTCGATTCTTGAAGTTGCGAGATTGAAGAGTGGCAGAATGGAAGACGCGAATTTGTTTTATTTATCCACAGTATTATATACAATCGCCCAATATTATAATGCATAAGACATGCATATGCCACTTCTTCGGGTTTGACCCGAAGACTTCAAGCATTGAATATAATCTCCGGGATCCGGGTTTACTATTGTTATCTTCGGGTTATTTTATTATTTCAAAAATAACGTCATTTTTTTGTTTAAAAAAGCATGTAATTCACAGAAAATACTGATGATATTAAAAATGTTTCCTTCAATTGAACAAAAAATGAAACAGAAACAAAAGATATTTACATTACAGTTGCTAATAGTATTTTCAAAAACTGTTTTGGTTCAATTCAAAAACAAATTTATACATTTATGTCGTATACCTTCCAGAGATGAGAAATTCTCATCTTTAAATTGAATAGTTTTCGAAACTGTCGTGTAGAAGACTTAGTTGTATTGTGTGTTCATGAAAACTCAAAAAGTTGTTACTAAGAAATAAATTAATTTTGTTTGAATTTCACACTTTTTTCATATTTGAAGCAACACTTACAGTAAACAAGATATATCTGTTGCATCAAGTCTTGAATGAAGCGATTCTTTTATTCATTTCAAAATTGTTGGTTTCATTATAAACAAAATGTATAGTGTAATTGATAACTAGATTGGAAATTGTTTATTTGGATGAATTTATGTTTGTTACTGATTGATAAATATTAATATCTAGACAATTTTTCGAGCCTCCGCTTGATACACAATTTTTACCTCCCCTTCTACCGCTTCCTATAGTATGATATAAATTATCCGGGAAAGAAACTTTAGACAGCTGGCAACTCTAATGAATGCATAAAATATCCAGAACACGTGACTTTTCTTACGCCGTGCTTCCAGGTCTGGTGGACACAGCTGCAGTCAAATAATTATAATTAGTTATTAGACTGTGGCACCTTGGGTTAATACGTGTTAATCTAAGGTCGCCCCTGGGTGGCAAGTGCCAAATACTATAGTACGATTTATTTAGTCGGGCACTTATTTAGACGCAAATCAGCTGTTGCGGTATCTATCAATCGAGAGCTACTGTGACACAATGGAGACGTTCAAGCTCCCGACTGGATGGATTCGTGAACAACTGATTTACGTCAAGTGCACGGTTTTATAAATTCTAGTACATTCTTGGGTTTTATTAAACAGTGTAATTAGCACTATTAGAACCATTTTGTGAAAATAGCTTTTGTGCGTAAGAAATTATATTGATTTTATCTTCTTGTCAGAATTCAATTTATATGTAGTTGAAAAAGTTTTTGAAATAACAGCCGTACGTACATTTTATTACGCTGAAAACTATCTTACTTTATATCTACAAACCACCAAGAAAGCGAGCTGTAGATAATTTAATTTTCTTAGAAAATCCAGAGATAACTCTGAACAAAATTAGTAATCTATCTTATAAATTCATTGTTATATGTGAAGATTTCAATATTGATTTTCTGAGAGGATTCCACGATAAAGAGCAGTTTCTCAACTTACTGTATTTTTTAATATAGATATTACAGTGAATGTACCTACACGGAATACATTAAATCACAAAAAGCAATATATCAAATTATAATTAACAAAACCACAACTAGATATGAAATAAAACTACTTATCTTGGTTACAGTGAACATGAACAAATTCTCACAATTACTAATAAAATGAACACTGACACAATAATTAATGCACGCATGTGCAGAGCAGTCACTAAAGTAAACAAAATTATATATACTTGCTGAAGAAATCATGGGACGCAGTTTACAACGCTGTATGCCACAAATGAAAAATATAATCTATATTTCTCAAAGCTTTCATTTCACTTTAACGCATGCTTTCCTCTCAAAAAGAAAAAATTAAATATTTCACGGAAAAATAATACTTGGATCACGCAAGGAATTAGAACATCGCCTAAAAACAAACGTACGCTTTACTTTATTTCTAGACGTCATAACGTATACCGGTTTCCATGTCTACTTCCGAGAATACAAAAGCATTTTAAGGAAAGTACTAGTTCAGGCGAAAATAGTGAAAATAATCAGGATATTTTGAACGATCGTGACAAAGCTAAGCAATCGGAAATAATACGACCACATCATCTTAGTTGAGAATGTTGTTTTAAAGAATACTGAAAGAGAAGAAAGTAATCCGGAAAAGTGGCAAATCTTTTCAATGATTATTTGCATTTCAAATTACCAAACGCATGGTTCATTGAAACTGAACAATATGCAATTAGCTGATGTTAAGGTAACAAAATTTCTAGGTCTCTCATTTCAGTTAAACCTCAAATGGAATGTAGATTCGTATAAAAGAGTTAAACACTAAATTAAGTCCATTATGTTACGAATTTAGAATTCTTTCAAATTCTGTCAGCCGTCTTGCAGCTCGTGGCGTGTATTTTGCAATTGTGCATTCTCGCCTAAGATATGGCATAATATTTTTGGGAAGTCCATGTGGTACCCAGACCTTCAGATTGCCAAAGAAAATTATTCGAATAATGAGAAAATGACATCCGCGTGATCCTTGTAAGCCTCTCTTTATTGAGCTTGGAATTTTACCATTGCCTTGCCTATTTATTTACGAATCTGTAATATTTGTCAAAACTGTTTTACTTAACGGTGGGAACATATTTTCATGCAATACTGATATTTATAATTACATCACACGTCGAAAAAATTGCATTCAAGTATCAATATCAACAGCTCACTACCAGAAATACACATTACAATACATGTACGTTACTTAGGGCCGGTTTCACCAACAACCGAGTAAAGTTTGGCAAAATAATATGAAATTATTTCAGATTTAATCTTAACGTATCTTATTCTATTCGGCCACTGCTTTTTGCATATTGTTTTTTTTTTTTTAATTTAACGTAACAATTTCTGGTTTCGAGTTTACAATTGAAAGGTAGGGGTATAAAACAAGGCAAAACTCTCCAAACATGTGGTTTGATGTAAATAATTCCATTGTTGGTATACATTTTTTGTAGTAACTGAAACGAAAAAACTCACCAAAGTTCCAAGAGAATCAACTACGAATTCCTCACGTTTTATGGTTCAGAATACCATGGTGGACCAGAGTATCACCGGACACAGCGGTGCTTCAGGTCCCCACGGAGGTCTACACACGGCGCCTATGGTGAATAAAAATAGCTGGGCCAAATTTTACTATTGATTCTGGTTGGGTGAACCGTATTTCAATGTGCGGCAACCATTCCTTTTTTCAGTGTACATATGTCCGTCTGTCTGACTGTCTGTGAACACCACTAGCGCCTAAACCAAGCGTAGGATTTTTACCAAATTGAAGATTCCCTTGTCCATCTGGCTCGGGTCGAAGCTTCATGATTAAAAAAAAAACATTCTTTAAAATTTGGGGATGCTCTACATAAAGCTGGACATTTTCAAAATTTTCTCAAAAAAGGTTCCAAATTCTTTCTTTAAATTTCTTGTAAGAATAGAGTAACATACACTTGTAATAGTGGCATAGGTCCGAATTTCACGGTTAACTCTAAATTTTCCAAAATTTCAATAGTATCAATTTTTTCGGTCCCTTCCTGTTACTACTAAATTAAAGATACAATTTTTTCCTTCAAATGAAATTTGTTGTCCATAATTAGTTCTTTTATGAAGGTCATATAGATTTAAAAAATAGTGGTTTTTGCTCAATATTACGTGCAATACTTGAAAATTTAAAAGATTACAAAGAGATTTCCCCAAAAAGGTTCCAAATTTTTTCTTTGAACTTTTGGTAGGGATGGTACTAAATTCACTCCATACGATGACAAACGCCATATTGATCTATACTATACTCGGTTCAAATGACTGTCTACTTCACGATATAATCCTCTATGCGACCAAGCAACAGACTAATATGTATAAAGCGTCAGTTTTTTTTTTGTTTTTACTTTTCCGTATACGAACGTATATACGGAGTAATATATGTAGTATATGGAAAGTTATGTAATATTACGAGAAAAAAACGGTGGATTTTTGGCAGTAATAAATAATAGCTGAGCCCTGATAAAGAAAAACTAGTGGTGCTTCAGGAAGGCACAATTTCCCGTCTTAGTTTTCTGTTTCCTTTGGTCTCAGCTCACTTTTCGGACTTGCCACATACTTTTGCCAGCTGCCTTCTAATACCGTCCAAATTACATTTTTTTATTTTTCTTACTTTTTTGGTTTCCTAATAGTAGAACGGAAATATTATTTTAATAAAACTAAAGAACAGTAAAACCTCGCCCTAAATGACAATTTTCTTTTAAAAATACGTAGCTGTTTTTGAGACAACGGCGTATAAGCGCTACTGTAAATTCGAAATTTGAAGCTCTCGTTTACAGATTTTTTTTTTAATTTTTGAAGAGGTAGTGGTTTTTACAGCCGGACGTTTCCCTATCAATTGGTATTTCGATATCAAGAACCCACCGGCCAGGCAGACCGATAGCGGTCCGTTCTGCAAACGATGCTCCAGATGGTCGCATACCCGGACCTACCGTCAGGTGAAACCGCGGTGCATGCACTGCGGCGAAGGCCATTTGACAGAGTCTTGCGGAAATCGCAGTGAACCAGCATTTTGCTATAACTGCCAGGGCAACAACTTTGTCAACTACGCCAGCTGCAAGGCGAGGAAAACTGCAGCAAACACACACACACAAACAACAACAAAACACAAAGTCGAGGCCAGCTGCACGCAAAGTTGACGAAAACGTCACCTTCTTAGCAGTGGCTAAGGCAAACCACCCTGCACAGGCAAAGCGCGCGAAACGGGAAGAAGCCATCTCTGCAGCCCGAAGGAGAATTAAGGAGAGGGCGAACCGTGCGCCCTAAGCCACTCAGACATCAATAACGCCTGCTGCTTCCTCTGAAGCGAACTCCGAAAGGAGGTCGCTGAATTAATGCAACAGGTCGCCCAACTCACCACACTCCGCCAGACCC